GAGGGACTGGGACAGTGGGGGGGGAGGGGGGGTTCCCCATACAGTGTGGGGCAGCAGGGATCATTTCCCCCACCTGCCCAGCAGCACCCAGTGAGTCGGGCCTTTTTTTTTTTCTTTCAAAGTGCCGGGACCTGGGGCGGGCAGGGCAGCAATTGCCGTGCTGGGAGAACAGGCAAGGGATGAGCCTGCATGATTCATAGATTTGGCAGCAACCCAGTGAGCGGCGCTTTTTTTTAAAGGGACGGGAGCTGGGGCAGGTGAGGCAGCAGCCAAATCTCCAAATCAGATTCGGCCGAATCGATTCAGGACAGTGTATAACAGGGTTCCCGACTGAAACCCTGTTACTTGAGAGATCTTGCAGCTGGTAGTGATTATGGCCCGGCGGGGTGCAGAGACAACCCACGCCTGCGGAGAGCCAACGGGGCTCAGTGCCTGGGGCTATGAAGAGGACGATGCCCAGGGAAAGTTGCCTTTGGGCACCACCAGAGAAGAGAGGAGCTTCTGGGGACTCTCACAAAGAAGGATCCAGAGGGATCCACAACGCAAGGCCAACACAGGCCGAGGGACTCCGGAGCCCAGGACCAGCAGCCCACCCCCACTACCTACCAGAAGCACATGGCAGCGGCATTCTCTCTCTGGGGAGAATGGAGCTGCTGCACGGGGAGAAGCCATGGCTTCACGCAGGGACACGGCAAGGCAACTCGGAAGCCAAAGGGGGTGCGAGTCACCAGCCCAGACCCCTGAAAAGACCGGGCCCAGCACCCAGAACTCGAGGGGAGAGGGAAGCCGGGGCAGAGGTCCATGGACCTGACCGTGGGCAAACTCCCAGATCCGCACACTGGCACTGTGCACGGCAAAAGAGACTGGGCGTCGCCTGTAACAAGCTGCTAATGAGGTAATTAGCGGCGGGGAGATGAGACACGAGAAAAGAAAGAAAACCCTTTTTTCCCCCCTTTTACTTCCTCTTTATTATTGGGAGCGGGCAAGGACTACGAGTGCCAGGGTTACGGCAAGTAACCTGGATAAAAAGGAGCCCAGATACACCCTACACAGGGCAGGGGACTCAAACGGGACCCTGCGGGAACTGATTGAAGACATAGCCGCAAGCTGACGAGACGCCTATTGACACTTACAGTACCAATCGAGATGCCGGGGATCCTCTTCGGAGCACGGGGGTGATCCCAGGAACAACTCTGATGAGCTGCTGCCTCCCACCTGGTTCCCTGTAAAAGAAAGAATAAAAAAGCACCTAGATTGTGAAATAGACCAAGCGTGGTCCTTCCGCGGGTACTAATCATTGCAACATCTCTTCCCTCCCTATTTCTTTGATAAGATTGAAGTCATGGCAAGCAAGAACCAGGGGATCAGGCGGTACCCTGCGCGGACATGCTAACACAGTGATTCAGATCACCAAATCAAATCAGTGTCCCCCGAATCAGCCGAATCTGAAGCAAATACTAGCCACTTCACACAGGCCTACTAATTAGCTCTGCAGGAAAGCGCCAATGTCTACGCATGCATCCCTGTTAAGGCACAGTAAATTAATTAACTCTGCGGTAGGATAGTACTGTCTGGGACAAGTACTATCCTACAGTGAAGTAGTTACGTGTGCTGAAATGCATGTGTAGAAGGTGACCTGGGCTGGCTGGGCCGTGAGGGTGCTATAGGGTGGGGGATGCTTGCTGGCTAGCCCCACCCTGTAGCACTCCCGTGCCCCAGCCAGCTCCTCTGCAACATATCGACCCAGGGTGGAGCAGACCTGGGCTGGCAGGCTGACCCACCCAGGCTCCCTGACAGCTGGGGCTGATCCACCTGGATAATGTGCTGAGGTCCCGGGCACATGTGTAAATGCTGTGCCTGGGAGCAATAAACTCCAGCATGAAATGCACCAGAGTTCATTGCTACATGTTAATTGCATGTGTAGATGCACCCTGTTAGATGAAATTAGGACTATGAATAACTAGGGCCCTTGTACATTTACTCAGCATTTAGTTGCTAAAAATGTTCCTGGTTTAACTTTTCTTTCTTAGTTTCAGACCGCTAAATAAGTAACATGGACATGATTTACCATGCAATGGCTTATTATGCTATAACTAAATGCTCTAGGGCTCAACCCATGGTATGCATACCTCTGGGGGTATGAGAGACACAGGCAGGGGGTACCTGGGTGCTGCGTTTTGGTCTTTGCCTGCTCAGGCCAGCATTGCCCGAGCTTCATGCCCCCATTGGAAAGCCCGATGGGCTGTGTGGTGCCAAATGGTGGCAAAGGGTGTGGGAGCAGTGCTGGCATGGCCAGCTTCCCTGTCACCCAGCAATGTTGGCAACTCCATTAATCCCCAAAGTCTGTAAGGGAGCAAGAGTGCCTATAACTTGGATAGAACCCCATTTTGGGGCTTTAAAATAGATGCTGTCAAAAAGGAAGGGGAGGTGGCGGGGAGGCAAGAAAGACCAGACTTGCCAATAGTTTGGTGGCCAGCCAGGCTAGGGTACACCTCCAACTTCCTGAGATAACAGGTTGAAATCCTTTCTGGACCATCTGACACTATGCCTGTGTGCCACCAAGGGACTCTCCTGGACATTCCTGACCAGAGTCTTGCCTGGCCCAAAACACAGCTGGATCGTGCCAGGCTGCCAACTAACAGCACCCTAGCCACGGGGCTAGGTATATGGACCAAAATAAGGGATTGGATTTAGGGCTGGGAGTATAGCTAGAAATCATTCTTGGGCCACCACACATCATACCTCTATGACACCTGAGGACTCTCCTGGACATCTCTGGCCAGAGTATTGCCCAGCCCAAAGCACGGTTTGTGCATGCCAGGCTGCCAACTGACAGTCCCCCATGCCCACTGTACTAAGCATATGAGCTCAAATAAGGAATTTATTTTGGGCTGGGATTAGAGGTGGAAATCTTTCTTTGGCCACCCCATGCCATGCCTCTGTGGTTTTTCTAATTTTCTGGTTTTCCTGGAACTGTTTTTTGGGCTGGGATTACAACTGGAAATTCTCCCTGGGCAAGCCCATGTGGTCAGGGGTGTCCAAGAGAGTACCCCAGCATGGCATAGCTCTGGGGTGTAATAGCCAAATATAACAGTGCATGGGAATGGCAGATATGCACCCAGCTCTGGGGTATAACAGCTGCATATAACAGTGTATGGGGAGGGCTGAGGTACACCCCAGAGCTGGGTGCAACAGCCACATATGACAGTTTAGGATGGCCCACACCATACATGGATAGCTCCGTGGCACAGCTTTTGCCTGCCATGTGGGAGACCTGGGTCCCATTCCCAGCCAAGGCCCCAGAGGGTTGAGTTGCTTGCAAAGAGGAACCCCCACTGGGGAGTGGGTTCCCACCCCACTGGAGTGCCTATGCCTCAAATTTTTGGGGATCTGCTTGTTATATTTTGGGAAACCCTGCATCTTATATTTTGTGAACCCTGCACTTCAAGTCTGTTATTGATTTGTCTCTGTTATATGTGTATGTTCACCTAAAATCCTTTGACTCCCCTCTGCTCCCCCAGTTTCCCCACCC